CACAGTGGACACAAAACTCAATGTCCACTACCTAGTAAAAACCATCATGTAACCATGATGGTACATATAGGTTAACATAATAACATCGTTCACGTCAATATTATTGATGTCGCACGAGCAAGGGAGTAGTACGTAGGCAGGCATGCAGCTTAGGTGTTATTCGGTTAGAACGCAATCGTTGTGGACGACCTATTGTTAGAAAACAATTGACAGTTTCCTCATACGTAAATAATGTATATAACAAAACACACGTACGCGCAAGAACGAGCACTCTCATATTATTATCATGTATATTTCTTCTGTTGTACGACTATGGCGAACAGGGCGCGGTCGGCACACTCTGGCAAGGCGCGCCTGCGACGCTGATCTGAACTCTTGACCGGGCGCGGTAGCGCGAAAACTGGTTCATGACCACGATTATGTACCACCAGTGCAAGCATGATATATTTTACACGAGTGCGCCGTCAGAGTTACTTTTAATTTACTGTTGCGGAAGGCGATAAAAATATTGGCGATTGAACGCAATCAGCATGTCTACCTATAGGCACCTATATTATTGTTTCTCTTACTTGTAATACGTAGGTATCTATAGTGCCATGACGAGGAAATGCAAAAATATTAATTGCATACCTACTATTTTACTCTATATAAATATATTTGATTACACCATTCACAAGGTTAATGTATAATTTTGAACGCGAGTAAATCAGGAGTTTTTTTTAAATTTTTATGCATATAAATATTATTATGTTAGGTATTAGAAAGGCCATGAAAGATTCAATGATACATAACATATTTTGTCTAATAAGTTTATTTGACCACACGAAACAAAAGCTCTCCATTATTTACACTTCCAATTTTATGATACGTTATATTATGTATCGGCTATATTTAATATCTGTAAGTATTGTCAATATTGTTATGATATCTTATATACTATTCTGATTATCGCCATTCAGTTCAACAAAAATAGAATTGGGAAAATAATGCCCATTAAAATCAACTATCGAGTTTGATCATGGTTTCCGACTTGACATTTTTAAACTAAATCTCGATTTGACATTTTTTATAATATATAGGTACCTACTTTATAGGTATTTTATTAAAATAGTTTCCAATCTATTTTTTTTTTTTTTGAAATACTAATAAAAAAAAGTTTTAAACATGTTCGTAGTTATATARACATAAATGTACTTCGTCAAAAATAAAAAATTGTAACCAAATCGCTGAGTAATTAAAAAACTTTCAATAACTACAATTTTATAAATTATTATTACAAARTAATATTTATTTAGGGACTAATTACTAATTTTCCAGAACATCCCAAATCATCATCAAACTCAGAACCAGCGTTACAGTGTTTGGATTTTCTACACTCAGCAGTCGCGGAGCATACGAAACAATATTACACAACACTATCGGTTGGAACCCCCGGGGGCCACTACAATCCTTGGACCGGCGCCCGATAAATATTATCATACGCTTGCGACCATTTATATAATAATATTATTATATGCGTGTACATTGGGCGTGTATAATCATATATGTGTAGAAACTAGAGCAGTTTTTTTTCCTTTCTATCTCTGCTAGCTCTCTCTCTCTCTCTCTCTCTCTCTCTCTCTATGTATCTATCTTTCTTTATAACATATATATAATATGTATATTAGTATATTTCAATTGCTAACTCTATTTGGTGTCGTTCCAGAAAGTAAAATAAAAAATCCGACGATAATTAGACCGATACACATTTTGTATTACGATAATGGTTCTGCGTACATATATGACCGGGTAGTGTTAATTACGTCCGATCACCCTCCCATCTAAGTAAATACTTATATGTATATTAATGTTATGCACATTTTCACAAGTGCAGATTTCTCTTCCGCACGAACGTGTATAGTGCTTGGGACAAAATGTAAAACTAATCTGCATAAATTMATTGCGAATTGTTACGTTTACAAACGCAATTAATTTTCATGTGCCTAGTAAAAAAAAATGAAAATTATTATTTAATATCTCAGAAGCAGTCAATAATCTGACAATATTTTATTTATATGCGTCGTTCAACATATATAATGTAAAAAGTAATTGATTTATCAGTTGATYGTGGCATTACACATTTTTATTTACATTATAAGTTTTTTAAGTAAAATAATAACTACATTATGTTCTAAATTGAACGGATCAAATGCAATGAAGTCAATTAATAAGTTGTGGATCACAACTCTGATGGGTCATAAATACATTTAAATAATATGYAGCACATAAAAGCACTYGCAATGTATATGACTAAAGTAGAATGTTGCGGAATCTAGAAAAGTACTAAATTGTACTATACAAACTATTGACACACAAAAACTAAGTGATGATTACACAAATCTTTGTCGCGTGACAGAAAATGTTATGCTTAGCAGATTAGTTAATATAAAACTTACRAGTGAATTGAACTCTTAAAAAAAAAATAAAGGTAAGATTATTATCTAAGCAATGCCATAAGATTGTTATTACATTTTAATTTTAAAGCGAGTTATAAGTATTTTAAAATCGTAAATTGTACCTTAATTTTTAAATACTAACCGACCAATAACTCAGTTTAAAATCAAAATATAATAAAAAGCCTAGGACATTTTCTAGATAATATCCTTACTTTTAAATTTTATAAGAGCTTATTTTACTTTAATTTGTAAATCAACGAAGCTAAACATCATCTGCTGAGCATAAAATTTGATATGTTATGCACTTGTAAGACGGAGAAAACAAATGTCAGTGTAAGGTCTTAATAAGTATGAAAAATAATTTTTAATTATAAATATTGTATACAAATAAAAATTATTTAACAAAAATATCAATACAAGGAATGTTTTGAGTCATATATTATTGTGTCATGAGAAAATAACAACAACAAAATGATTAGAAAAAATGAAGCAATTTAGACGATGGCTTCATTATTACCCGTCAAACATTCCACCTCATTTTTCGGAATAAACTTTTAGCGCGTTTAAGTTTTTCACCCTCTTTTGGCACAGCAAAACTCGCGACAGTCATTAGGTACATACTACTTCCCCACTCTACCATCTTGTGATTCTCTCCCKAAATATTTTCAGGGATTTTATTTCCCGTCTAAACACAACGAACTTATTGTTTGTGTTTAACGGGCTACATAAAAATAGCTACACAGTGATCAGGTGATAATATTGGTTTTTCTTTAACAAAGTAAAAACTTAAAAGAAAAACAATTTTGAAAATGTACCAAATTGCAACATCATTGTTTAGCTTGAATTTTTACTTAAAATCTACCTGCAATATTATAAAATTGAATTTTCCTACAATGGCTGTTAAATAATAATAAAAAAAAATCATCCCCACATTAAATTTATTATGGTGTTTGCACAGTTCAACTTGAAAAAAAAAATGCTTGTATACAACGAGAAAAAATAAATACAATATTATTTAAGAACTGTAATTTATACAAATTCCTTAAAATAAAATGGTAAAATTACAAAAAATACGAGAGCGTTATTAAAAATAAATGTAAGTAAACTTGGTGAAGTAAATAACTGAAATTATATTATTAAAAAATTTAATGAAGGGCTTTGTTTAAGGAGTAAACCGGTTTTTTTTGTTATGACAAGGATTTTCGCATAAGCCCTGCATCGTGTTAAATTCTATATGAGTATTGAGTAATATTATATATTCTTGTAAGTATAAACGTTATCCCGGGGTATGTGCTCTTGTATATGGACCCGYATCCATCTCATATTTTGTATAATAATAATTTATCCGTGCTTGTAAAGGGGAAATGTTTTTTGTTCTGTTACTCACTAATCCTGTTTGATATTATATTCCTGGTTAGATTTATCAGGTCCTCTTCGATCAGGAATGGTTTAAATACATAATATGACTATAGATGTATCATAAAGGTAATTTCTGTACTATTCACTTAGCTAGGTATCTAAGAATTTTCCATTTCTAATAAATCTTGTACACTTTATGTGATCGAAAGATTAAAAAATAATTATTAGGTAACATAAAATATTTTACAGTAAAAAGTTGTTTTGTATTCTACATTTTTCTTAAAAGTTCGTACTTTAGTGAAAGTTAATAGTAATTAGGTTATACAATAATTAAATCCAAAAATTAACGATGCATTTCGTATTTGATTGAACAGTTATATGTTGTGCTCATATTTATATTCTCAAGSACAAAATATAATAAAAAAATAGTACAAACAATCGTCTATAATATTGTAATTTAAACTCAAACAAATCTGATAATAACAAGTGGCGAGTGGCGACAGTGATTTTCAGCAGCCTGTAACTCAATATAATGCCAAAATCTGATAGTGCTGTGTTGGTGTTGTATACAAGTGAATGTTGACACCCAATATCGTGAGACGATACACTACCCAGAGCGCCCGTATAAAATATTAAAATCGATTGGATTACAGCAAACGACATATTGTGTTCAACTATATAGGTGGGAGCACATTTATTAAGTTAATTACTGTGCCTAGATTAAAATACTATAGTAAACTATTGTGAATATTGTGTATACTGAGTACAGTAAATAAACCACAAAGTACAAAAAAAAAAAAACGATTTTTCAATATATTGTTTATCTTTTCAAAGTACAATACGTCATACTGTACTAATTTTAAACCATAAACGTATTAATAGCTATTCATAAGCCTACAGAAATTTAATTTTCTGTTTCAATGTAGACAAGAAATAGTAATTGTTACAAAAAATTTAACTAGGTTGTTTGCTGTTAGATTTCAAAATGTTACATTTAATTTTATAAAACTTTTTACTATTTATGTCAAATACCAAAAAAATACAGAATTTATATAATGTATAAACAAATATTTTATATATTTTATAATAATAATTATTTATATAATTATAAAAATATATAAATATTTATAATTGGGTATAAAATATAGTTTAATKATTATAATGGACACTATTAAATTTATTGGGAAAACTCATTTTTATACTCACATTTGAATTATTTATTAAACAAAGTTGGGTGTTATTGTAACGTACCTGAAACAAAAACAAAATAAAAATAGTTAGTTTTGAAATAGATCCTTTGAAAAACTATTTAATTTATAAATCAAAATAAAGGTTCAGCAAAGTGGAGTCATTGTATAACTGATTTATTGCCATAGTTTATAAGTGGCTAGGTTAGCTATAGAATATAAGATAATATGAGATTAATTACATAAACTTTGTAGTCTCACTGAGTGAGCAATGAGCATACGCTTCAAAGACTCTCAATGAAAATTGCATATAGGTACACCCTTTAATTTTAAGTCGTTTTTAATTTTCAATTTTGCTTTTTCAATTGCTTGTTATTATTGATGTTTTTATCTAGATTGATTTTTTATAATGTATCGTTATTGCGAACAACTTTAGAGAAAAGTATAAGCACGTATGTGTCCAAATAAATTACATACGACTACATACGTAGTTATGAACTGGGTCGCCCAGTTCACAAGCTAAACTTTCTCTTATCCACTAGCAGTACTGTGCGAAAGGATAATATGACGAGTATTTGGGGTACACACACACATTTACAAAATGTCGTGTAAATCCATAGTATTCGTGATATTGAAAAATTCAGTTGACACTAGGAAATTGAAAGTGACACACACATGCACTTCACCACTACCTACTTAAGTACATATTATGAGGAAGAATAATGGTTAGGTTTAACAATTACCACAGATAATGAAATTAATATTTCAATTTAAAACAATAATATGATTCATATCTGTTTATGTTAATGTATAAACGATTTTATTAATAATAAAAATAAAAAATWAATAATTTTTAGATAATTAGAGAATGTAAAATAAATTATATAGTAGGTATTTATTTATATTTTGCTTAGGTATAAATTATTTCTACATCATATTTTTCATTAGTTAGAATGTTGCATTTTCCTGTAGGAGAAATAAAATCAAAACTATTTCTTACGTTGATAATCATACCTACTTAACAAAACGTATATAATTTAATAACTGAATCAAGACTCAATAGTAACAAAGATGCATGTTATAATACAGTTTGGTTGGAACATTGTTGTACACGTCTGACGCTGTATCATATTTGATGCGAAATAATCACTTTAGAGTTTAGAGTAGTCTACGATGCCTATAYATAGTCTTATCCATCATGTACAATAATATATATTAACCATTATACATTTYTACATAATAATACACTGGTCCAGCTTTTCATGTCGACCTAGATATGTATATTAGTAATCATTGGTAACCTAATACGTATACACATTCAACGTGTTTTTTAGTAATCACACAAAGGTATAATTGCATGTGGTCATTTATATAGACACTTGGAAATTTGTTAGATTTGAAAGAATTTTTACAGTAATTACAATCGATATATTTGAAGTCTTGAAGCTATAAATTAAACAAGAGTTTATTAATCTGTTTCTAATGGAATTTAACTAAATAATAATAGATAAGTAATAGGTTTTATGTCTCTTTGTTTCATTAAGGCAATTTGAATATTAAAACAACATACACTTATGTAAAACTAAATTGATTGCTAATAATATATATATATATATATAATTACATTTAAAATGTAAACGTAAATAAGAACAAATCATTGGTTTATTGATTTTTAAACACTAACTATAGAACAATATATACAAACAACCTAAGAACAAATTAAATATTTATTTTTGTTCCGTAGAAGGTGGAACAACGATATATCGATAAATTTAGATGTAACAGATATCATTTTGGTCATCTTGACTCTTGAATGACCCAAAAAACAAATATGTCAATGATGAATTATAGTTTTCTCTTTTGAATAAGGGTTGAAAAGAGGTATAATAACAAATACGATAGCGTGACCGTAAATAATAACTATAACAAGAGAGAACGAGCTTTGGATTTGACTTTTTTTTATTTATTATGTGAATTTTTTTTTATTAGTTGGGCGATTACAAGAAAAAACATTAAAACAATTAGCTATAAAAAACCATACAAACAATACATACTGGAAACCTTTTAAAAGTCGATCATTTTGCACGGAACCACTAAAAATGGTCAAGAGGTTGCATGACTGGTCGTCGGTTTTTTATTGTTTTTTTTAACCCAGTAACAATAATTATCTGAATTTTAATGAAGTCCCGTTTTTTAACGCCAAATAACCTCTGCACCAACGTCCACCAACCAACACAATATGACCAGCCCATTTTTCTTTATCTGATCAAAATATTTACGGTGGTATGGATATAGTCGTTGATTTTCATGTTTAATTCTTTGTAGCTGATAAGTATACACTTATACAGGAAAAATATTGTAATTTTTTGCAATCGACACACGCTTATGAACTTATAAATCTTATTACATTAGGTCACAAGTTTAACGCTATCGCCATTGTGAATCGACCACAACAATACATTTATTAAACCACTTGGCGAAAAATATTCGATAAACTGATTTTTTTCTACAAACGTATTTTAAAGGTAAGTGTTCTGGTGACTTTTTTCTTCAAACAGTATCCAGGCTAAGCTTATCTCTATATAATATTGTAGCTTATCTGATCAAATATCTRCCCATTTATACATAGGTATATGACATAAAACTCCAGATCAAGTTTTATTTTTCCCCAGGATATTATGACAGTTGTTTTCGTCCCCACTTTGCAGCATTCTCTAGAGATTGTCAATTCAACATGACGACCCCTTAATCGTATATACATCCAAAAGATAGAAAAAATATACAGTTGAATGATTTACCAAGGATGTGTGTTTAGTTAAAAGAACAATTCAAAACACGTACGAATCTTCCATAAGCAATTCCGTTTATATAGGTACTACACAAATTATTTCTAGCAGACTGTACACGCATTTTGAAGTATCCAAAAGCCTAATATTTTCAAATAATTTTGTTCAGTGTTATTAAAATTATGTAAAATATTAAAAGAAGCTAACTGTGTGAGATAATTCAAGTATTTCACATAAATATATTATATAATAGGATTTGCGTATGCCAAAATCTTGTGGCACGCGGAAAATAATTCAATTTGTGCTGTATAAAAATAACATGTCGTGAACACACTCACGAGATAATTGAGTATTTCAAGTGATCTGTGCGAGTTCATACACATACAAATAATGGACGATGGCCATCAGAACAATTTGTTTTATAAATTGGCTTCGATCTTTTTAACGCGATAATAACGCGTACAGTGTTTGAAAAAAGAGATGAATCTATTGTTGATGTGGTATAAAAAATGAACGCTTTGGAAGAATAATGAATAAAAAAAAAAAGTGTATAAACATAAACAAAATCCAATTGAACAAGCAAGTCCGTGAGCAAATACAATTCGTCTCGGTTATAACGTGCCCGCGTGTCTGTTCTCTTCATCTCTCTCACTATTTTAGTATGTTTAACTCTTGGTCGATCTACATTTTTATAAGCTTCATACACTCATCGTGTGAAGCAGTGTTATTTTATTCTTTTCATTTTTTTATTCTACTATGTTGGATATTTTCACGTTCCCCCGGGAAAATTAATCGCCATTTCAGGCCATTGATTCCTGAACGTGAGCTAATTGAAAGTAGCTGCCAAGGAAAAACCAAAATAATTTTCCACTTGTATGTTGCGAATATATCATCTCAAATTTCATAGCATTRTTCACCACCATAATCACGATCATATTATATGCTAACATAAAAATAAATATTTTGTGACAAAGCAACTTGACTGATGAAAAAAATACAATTACAGGTCTATAACATATTGACGCCATTCAGATAACTACGATATCAAAATTATAGAATATTGAAGAGCACTACCAAAAACATAAACAACTGACATKTTAGTGTTATTAAACTAAAGAAATATTTTATTTGTACATTATGTTTAATACAAGTCAAAATTTGTACGGATTTGTTCGTGTAGGTACATACAATTTTGTAGTTCAAACCTGTACTTGAAAAAAATTGTGAATAATTTAATATCTTTAGTCCGTTAAATTGCTGAGTTACTGGAAGGTGTGTAATAATTATAATAATAATAACGTTTAATTTTAAGGTACAATAGAATTGGTAATATGAAATAAAWATCATTTTCTGCACCTCCTCGTATAAATATTTTTTTCAACGAAATATTTAATATMAATTTAAAAAACATTTGGAAGGACTTTCAAACATCAAATGTATTTATGACCTCAATAATCTTTCCACCAAAGTTATACTTATTTTAGTCCAAACAGACATAATAAAATAAATACACATACGATATTAATTTTTCCAACATTTTGACAACCCAATCGATTGATATAAAATTATTTATATATAATTTTGAAAATGTAACTGTACCTATTTCTTATTTTTCTATCAATCTATTCGAACGTGCATTATAATAGGACACTATACAATAAACATAGTATGAGTTTATTTTAATATATGTATACACTATGCACGTTAATACGTTATACCTTCCAACGTGGTTTGTATTTAAATAACATTAGAAACTGCTACCTACATATAGATACATGACCACAAATTGCGGTTTTTACCAAAATATAGAGCCGATCCTATTGGAAGAGAAAAATRCATTAATGTATTATATACGTACATAATAGTGGCCACTGTTGTGTGCATATTTTCCGAGGCTTTCTACTCATATTATTTACACGCAAAAAGAATCAGATGACCGTCAGAMATTTATTATTATGTTACCATTTATAAAACGACCAAGTGCCCTCACGTGGTGGTATGTCAGATTTTATATGATAGGTACATATTTTTCGTGTACTAAGTAAATATAAGTAGATAAGGTATAACTATGATAATAACAACATGATTATGTTATGAAAATGCCGGAAATAATACGTATACGACATGTGTCGTGGACCGTGGTACTATATTATAGTTATGACAGCAGACTGTCAGCGGAAGTTTTCCGGCGTCGACATTTAGAGGATCACTATATTATAAGACGTATTATATAACGACATGCATTATTGTATATTTTTCTGAGGATAAATCTTTTTAAACTCTAATCATAAATAAATAGACCTATACAAAAATAATATTAAAATGTTATACAATTTAACTTACAATTATATTTTTAAACATAAAATTGAACAATCTTGCGTTACCTACTAAAAACACTTGATTACTTATTCAACTTTGAAAAGCGTAGGTTTATGAGTACTATCACATTTTTAAAAGTGTTTCATTATTTTACTGCTTTTGAATATTGATTTTTCATAAATTGTTGCCATTAAGATAGCAGGTAATTCATCCGATTTTAAAATACTAAACTTTTATAAATTGTTTTAAATATCTTGAAATCAAAAGCGATATACTAGCTGCTACCAGTTCAGTAGATATTATATGCAAATCCTCCACTATAGCCTCCGAGCCAATCTAAGGCCAAGTAAATAATTAATTAAATTCCTATGCATATCCGCCGTATTCCATCCAGCAGCCCGGAGACGTTTTGTTACTATTATTATACATACACACAGTATCTACCTATATATTATACGACGGCAGCCTGCACCGAACTACAGCCGGGCACAATGACGGACCATAATTATTTTTTTCTTTTCCATCATAATCAGATAGCCAAGCAAAATCACATACAAACACCGGAGTCGTTATAATAATTATTATTATTTTACTATTTTTTCCCTCTCATAAAATTACCCGGGAGCCATACGCCGGTTGATAGGGGGGATGCACCGTCTTTACAATATATAAACACAACGAACGAGACACCGTCATAGCACAATTAAAACGCTTCTGGAGGCCATGAGGACGGAGTGGATGACCGCTCGCTCGTATTGATATGCCTGTGTAGTTAATATTTTATACGCACTCGTGGCTTCTAGGTATAACGACGGTGGTAACCAGTTTTTCTACGTAACATGTGCACCTGTTTTTTAAACTTTTTTTACCTCCCCTCCTCTTTACTGTGTTGTTGCCTTGCTTTATTTATTTTCCATCTCAATGTTACATATTATTACTAACGTACGATGATAATCTAAGTCTGGCTGGCCCATTAGTATCCTCCCCTCTCCTCTCCTTTACAGCACACCACTATCATAATATATCTGTTTCCTTTCCCTCTCTCACTTTTCTCGTTTTTAATACATTTATATGCAATTTAGAATCAAGCGTATMATGGACGGGTTAAAAAAAAAAACGCCTCGAGCTCAAAATGCCAGAGAAATATTAGTTACTGAGGAACAGCCAACAATTAATATACTAGTAACGAGTATTATATAGATCCATAATATTATACATAATATATGTAGTGGCCATTGTAAATTATAAAACTGGCACGCGTTCCTATTCGTTAAACTGAATWATTGAATGCGTAAATTAATTTTCGTCATTTAACTACTTTTATACAAGAAGATAAAAAATACATTAACTTAACAGTGTTTGATAGTGTTTGTCGTATTTATAAACAATGCATCATMAAATTGATTCAAAATATTTGATAATACAATAAGTCTTCATAAAAAGGCATTTCGTGGGAAATGAAGACATTGGACTGTAAATGTGTAAAAAATTGTCCAATAAATATAATTTATAATTATAATACGTCAGTCATTTTGTAAATCTTAAACATTRATTAATTTTATTATACATGATGCTGTTATATAACTCAAAAACAATCAATCTAATATTTGAAAATAATTGTACAAGTACATTATTAATAAAATTATTGTTTCATTAAATTTAAGTTCAATACTTGTAGATTATATATTTTATGTAAAATACGTTT